ATATGTATAATTATTGTTCACCAGGAACGAAAAATAAACCTTTACCGTACATTTTAATAAATGATAAAAGTCTATGAATGATAAAAAATCAGAGCCGCAGCTCAACATCAAATTTCAGACCAAGCACATTGGTGAGTTGTCCTGTTTTCAGAAGATGCTGAGGGCCCTCCATGTGGCCTTCAAGGACCCCTTGGTCCCTCAGGCACCATGTTGGTGACCCGTTTTAGAGCGTGTGTGTATCGGTACTTCAGGTAACAATGGTGCCTATAATTATTTCATTTTATTATTCATTTCAGCTCTTGACGATATCATTCAGGAAGTGTTATTAGTTAGTTTAAAATAATAATGTCTTTAAGAATTAAAATATGATGAATGTAAGTTAATCTATTTAAGATGCCTGTAAATAAGATATAAAGTCGATAAGATGGAGACTGGTAGTAGTCTGGTACTGTAGATCCTCAGACCCAATGGAAATAATGTAGTCCTGGATACCAAAGGTCACAGAAAGGACAGAAGTTTGGAGAACAGATTTATCACAAAACAATAATTACTGATGATGATGTCATTGTATTATGAATGTAATATAATGCAGCTCCTGAATATGCTGGATATTTCCCCTTATTTATGTATAAAATCCTTCATAACATGGAAATCTTGCACTTTGAGACTGCTTTTGTGAAGAGAATGATATCTCACATGACGATAGCAGCAGCCACTTACTTAATCAGGCTCGTTGCTCTGGTGCCCAATCTTCAGTCACTTGCTTAACAGTCAAGCAGTTCGTTGGCCTAGTGTTCAGAGCAGTGTGGTTATGCTCTGAGAAGGTTGCAAGTATCCGATTCGATCCCCACAGCCTGCAGTCTGGGGCAAATGCAGAGAGGGAATTTCTCCATTGTGGGACAATAAAGGGATTTATATTTCATTACATTTAAATTTTAAGATTTAAAACCTGTTGTTTTTAAGAGAACACAGTTGTTCTTCTCAACAGCAAAAAAAAAAATCCAGCAATCATTTTTCCTACTTGTAAGTGGAGGTACCGGTAATACTGTATAAGTTCAACCAGCTGTTTAGCAGTGTGCAGATCAGGGAGGAGCTCCACTGCGTCTCTCCATAGCAGGAGGAAGCTGTTATCCCATCCTGATGGGTTTTATAGACCTCTCTTAGGTTCAATGTTTTTGTTTAACCATTTATTAATCAGAAGATTTATGGTTTCTCAACAGCAATAGAAAGTTTCTTTATTTCATTATTTGTCTGTTTTCTGCCTTCAACAGATTACGTGACTGGAGTACCCAGAGGGGACAAGGCACTGGGTTATGTAAGTGTTACTGGTCACAGTGGGATGTGCAGCCACAGAAAGCTCTGAATTAGACTTTCATGTCTTAAACTGTAGTTCAAAATGTCCTGAGGTTTATTTTCCCTGGATGTTTGTCACCTGAGACGCATGTTTTGTTTATAAAGTCAAACAGCCACTTTTTTTTTGCTTCAGCTTGATATGATTCATGTCCTTCTGGTGTTTTCTTAGTTCGCGTTGTTTGAGTTTTTTTTTATTGTGCCTTTTAATAACTGACCAACTTGCACTGCTTCAGCAGCACTGATCAAATGTTTAGGGCCAGTTTCTAAACACAATTTTTTATAAAGATCTGATGTTTCTTTTAACTGTTTTTTTTCTAATTATAATAAAGATTAGGTTGCATCAGCAAAAGGGCTTTGCTTTAATTACAAAGATCGAGTTTAAATCTCCAAGATACTGGACACATTCATCGATAAATAAAACCTAGTTTTAAAAACAAATCAAAACAGATCTTTGCAACACAGATTGTTGCTCAGTAACTTTCTCTAGTTGAACATCTCAATATGTACAATGGCTTAGTGTAGAACATGATCCCATAATACATTTAAAGTGTGTCCCACTCAATATCATAAGATAAAAGCTGTAATTTATTGGGTTATCTTGTGAAACTATTAACTTATTGTTTTGGCACACAAAGGCTTTCTTTCCTAATGGTTAAGTAAATCATTATAAGGCGTCTCATGCCAGAGAGAGCGGTCGGTAACACACAGCTCTGCTGTCAAAATGGTACCAGCATTATGTCACATTCTCCTCCAGGTTTGCCTTTATTGTATTTTATGTTTCATAATCAAGTTAATCTGATACCAATCTTTAAAATAGACTGATTCAATACAGGATCAGTCTACCAATAGCTGATATATCCTGCCAATATCTATGGGCCGATTTGACCTTTTCTTGCTTCTTTAACATGATAAAAAAGACACAATTACAAAAAATATTAAACAGTTTAAACAAAAATAGAAACATTTATGATGGGGCTGATCAATTTGGCCAAAAAGGTAAAATTGAGATCCTTTTCAACCAGTGTTTTAAATATATTTTGGTTTTCCTTTGCACTAACCACCAGCATGTAGAAGTTTCACCCCAAGGTTTTTTTTTAGGACTTAGAAAGCATGCATGTCCAGAGACCTTTGTTGTCAGACTTTACCGTAACGTTTGTGTGGAAAAACGTCTGACTTCTGCTATTCTCTCTTTCCTTCTGTTTGGCTGCAAACCACTTTAAGTCTAATCCTGCCACTTAAAGGGCTGGAGTTTAGTGTCTTACTCTTGTTAAATGTCATGTGACCAAAACTGAGTGCCTCTACCATTATAAAAAAAAAAATTTTTTTTGTTAAATTCCATTTATATTAAAATGCAGCTAATTGTCCAGCACTAATTTATTATAAAACTCAAGGGTATGAAATCAAACTAAACAAAAGATGCAAATAGGACAAATACCAATGCATGCGCTTTACCCGATCTTTTTTTTTTTTTTTTACCCGATCTTAAAGCATGGCTGAATGCGCTAAGTCTGTCTGTGCTCTCAGCTGCTTACAGATTCTGATTTTAAGGAACCTGACAGTCACCACCTTCCAGTTTCTGTTTCCGCTCACTGTCTCACCCTCTCAAACCTCAAGAGATTTTTAAAGCTTCCCTTCTTATACGTCTTAAATCCTGTACTTTGGTCCTTTTTAACAGATAAACTGTGAAATTCAAAGCTGTTTAGATCTTGCAGCTAATAGGATGTTGTTTTTGCCACACTGTTGCTTTAGGTCAACATCTTCAACGGGGCCAACATGGAATCCATGATTAACTTCACCGGCTCTCAGGTAAGCTGCTGGGTTCAGTAAACGATGTATAGGTGCATTCTCGGGTCAGAGTGATGCATCCATGTAATATAGGTTTATTCAACACCATTTTTTTATTTATATTCTGGATGAAGTACTAAATATGGCCTCGTCTTATAAATTCAAGAGCAACCATTCAAATGCTGTGTAGTAGAAACAGTTATTTCATATCTGGGCATAACTATCCAAGAGAATGAGTGAAATTACAAGTTGAATCTCCAGTAATTGCAAAAAAGTAAACAAAAAACAATCCACTGGACTTTTTTTTCCAAGTTTGTAGACTCTTCGCCTCCCATCCAGCAAGCTTTTTCAATTCATTCACAAACTTTTTCGTGAATTGAAAAAAAAGCTTCCTGGATGGGCCCTTAAACAACGCCACATTTGGTCTGTGTTGAAGGACCCAGAGGTCGTTCCTCCTGTTGATGCCCACGTTTGTGCAGGCGTGGAAAGACTAATGTGAGTCCTGGTCTGGACTGAGCAACCAGCCCTGGACCCACTCTTTGGGGAGCTCTGGATCTGCTTCCAACCCAACTTTGATGTGGTTTGCTAATGTCAAAACAAACCAGACTGGATCCAACCAAACTGCAGAAAACATACATCCCTTAGATTCTGGAATCATACCCCATTCCTCGAACTGTAAAGTGAACTGTAACCTGTAGAGGTTACAGTTCACTTTCAAAGAGGATCATTTGAAATGAAAACTGTGCCAAACAAAAAGAAACTACTGTAAATCTGCAGCTGGTTTGGACCATCAAAGCAGACTAAGGACCTAATATACCCCCACTAGCCATGTTTTCATTCCACTGAAATGCAAATTTCAATCATTTCATATTTTCATAAGCAAACTTTAAAAAATAGGTTAAAGTCCTGTCAGACTTAGCTTAGGCTAGTGGCTGCATAATGGAGCTTAGAAATGACCCAAGGTTAGCATTAGAATAAGTAGACCTGGTAACTGGCTGGCAGTAGGTGTGTAACAAGAGCATGTAATACATGTGTCCCACTTACTGGTAGAGGGGAGTTCAGGGGAAGTTTGTAACATTCAGATATTTCACATTTAATGACAGAACCCTTTTTTTTTTTTTTTATTGAAATTTTTATTTGGAAAAGCAAGTTACAATTACTTTGTACATTCAAGCTTCCACCACAGTGGAAATATGGGAAAGAACAACATAAGCCGATCCAGAGTTTTTGTATAATAACCAAACATCTATAACTGAAAAGCGAGCGAGTGGGAACATGAGGTCAATTTTTCCTTATATTTGGGGAAAAGCACAATCCAGGATATAAGCCTGCCAATAGGGTACAATACACAGCACAACTGTATTTGCATGTGATCAGACAAGTTTAGATCACAGGGATTACTAATTTTACATAGTTTGTCCACTTAGACCAGATCCTGAAAAATGATTCCCTTCGTCCTTGGACAGAAAAAGTTAGCTTATCCAGCATGTAAATGTCCTGCACTATGCTAAACCACTCCTCAACTGTGAGTGTCTTTTTAATTACAGCCAGTAGCATTAACAGCATTTTTTTTGACAGGACCCTTTTTAATACTTTGGCATTGATTAGGCCCCAAATACAAGTGTGGACACACACAGACGTAATGAGAACAGTCCTTTTTAGGAGACCTTCAGATGCCACTTTGTGACACTGCGATCTACAGTGTGACAGAACAACCAGCGACCTTAGGCGAGTCTCATCAAAGAACTGCTTCTTTTTTGTTAAAACCAACATCAGAAATATTGAACCTGTTCAGGAAAACTACATTGTTTCAGGAAAAAGTTCACCCTGTCAGAATCTTCCTAAACTGTTTGACCAATTTCTTGGTCCTTCAGGATCTTGTTAACACTGAATAAACTCCTGATGCTGATAAAGGGCAGTAGGTTAAACAGAGTGGAAGAGAAGCTGTCAGCAGTGGAGTTCATGACAGAGTTCCTGCCCATCCTGAATAAGTCCCCCTCTTAACCCAGCAGCCTCTGTTTTATCAGCTTGTCACTGTCCAAGCTCTCCATGTTCCCATTAATAGCTCTCTGATAAAAAGTACTGCCTGTGGAATCGGCCTTTTCCTGTTTTCACAGCCAGATCTAGTGACAGGCCAGTTTTCTGAACGCCTCATCTTACTTCCCCTCCTCCATTTTTCCTTCAGATGGCCGCCTACTTTGGACATTCAGTGGCTGCCTCCGATGTTAATGGTGATGGGTAAGTGCTCTTCCTGTCTGCCTCAAAGCTGTCTTTTAACAGCTGACATTTCCTGGTAGTAGGTCTGCATTGACTAAAAAGGCTTAATAAACCACGCGTGTAAACCACCGCCCAACCGGCTTTGATGATGTTTAAGTGAAACCAGGTTCAGGCTTTGGTGACATCATTAAAGACAGAGGTCATATTTAAAGTTTTTATGGTTCTGCTTTTGTTGATTTTGAGGAGTATTTTCTTGTCAAAATTTGATGCATTGCAGCTTCAGAAGGAAAATTCATTGGCACCCCTAGTGAGCATTATAGGCCTCTTTACCAAGGACTTCCTGTTTAGGCGAGATGAGTGGAGGATCTGTCACACTAAAAGTTAAAGTTCATGTCATCAAAAACAGTTTAATTAGGTTAACATTTGCTCGCTAAGGCAAACTATGAAGTGTATTTTGTTCCATTATTGTTGCAAGCAAAGAACACGAGTTGTAAATGGAAGTTAAAAAAGAAATTAAACTTTTTGACAGTCAATTTACTGGTTTGACTGATTTCTTCATTTCAATTGTTTTCATGATTTATTTTTCAAATGTTATGTTATTTCAAAAGCGGTCATATTTTTTATTTGCTAGTTTTATTTTTCAAATTTTTGTGTTTTTCAGAATGGATATTGTAAATGTGTATATTTCACAGATCCCCTTCTTGTCACGTTAAGCCAAATGGAAATGCTCCCTCGTGACAATAAAAATGTTGCTGCTAACATCCATGCAGACCAACATAAATGCATGTTCATTCCTCACTCCAGATTAAAGACCAACTAGAGAAAAGAAGAGAATCTGATCTGAAAACACAATTTGAAAAAAATGCAGGTTGTAAAACTCGAACTGAAAAAGAGAAATAAAAAAATATATATATTTGAAAACAAGAATCTGTAAAACATCTTTTTTTACATTTAATTTTTTTTATTTTTATACAAAAATGTTTTTAAATTGAAGTATAAAAGATATAAAAATATATTTTTTAAAACTATAAAATATATGTATATTTTTTTAAACTAAAACGTCACTCTCAAAAACTTTCTTTGTTTTTATCATTTTCAAGGTTTTATTTCCTGACGGCATTTTTTTTATTTCTTTATTTCAGCTTACAAAATATGTTCTTTGCCTTCAACAGTAAAGTGAACCATAATGAAGGTCATCTTTTGGCCTTTCAGTAGGATGATTAGTCAGAAAGCAGAAATTAATCATAAGAACCAAATCAGCTTTTTTCCATTCACTGCATCAGGCTCCAGACCTAACACCTACAGGATTATCTGCATAAAAAAGAGCAGAGGATAGAAATTAAGACTCTAGATAATGTAGAAAGATTGTGCCAATGCTGATAAATCTTGCGCATGATTTATATAAATTTTCCAGAAACAAGTTTGTCTTTCATCCAGGAAACGCATTCATTAAGTGAAAGATACAAATGAGATTTATTGTGAAAAACAACGATAACCAAATGAGGAAAAACTTCTTTTTTTTTGCTCTGTTTCAGTTTTGTTGATTTGCTGGTTGGAGCCCCTCTCTTCATGGACAGAGGCCCAGATGGGAAACTGAGGGAAGTGGGACAGGTAGGAAGACGATGCACACCATTCAATGACTGTACTTATGTAGCAAAAGATGTGAAAAGGGCCAAGATGGATCAGTGTTAACACACTTTGGCAATTTTCACACTTGATGCTCACTTCCTATTGTATACTGAAATCTGTTTGGTGTGGTTTTGATTCTACTAAGCGAGCCTAGTGATAATTGCCACACTTAGGAGGGTGTAAACATTTGTTTAGCAATCACAGAGGAAGTACAGTACTCTCAGAGTAAGGATTTATGAATACCAAGAAAACCTTCTACCAAATAAGGCCAGATATTACAAATATTAGCTCTAGTCCATCGGAGAAAAAGTGCGTGGGCGGGGAGATGCTACATTTGACAAAGGCAAGTTATAGAACCTAATTCGGGGGATCAAAGGAGCCCAGCGAAAGATTGGATAAGTTAGCCGGGGAAACAGCACCAGGGTAGGAAGAGGCTACAGCTGACAGAGGCTAACTGCTGTGGATTAAAACAGAACAGAGCAGGATAAGATAAGTCTGGATCATTATAGAAGGGGGATAGGGTACAGATGACCAGGAGGAGGACAGCGGGGCTTTGGAGAAGCCCGCCAGGTAGACAAAGCGTAGAGAGGCTATGGCCGACAGAGGCTACCCTCTAGGCTAACTGCGGGCAATGGAATGTGGACAGCAGAGATGCATGCCCCATGCAGACAGTGCAGGGGAGCTGGAGAGAGAAGGCAGCAGCTTCCTGGAGGCTGCGCTGGAGGTAGGACCACGAAACAGTCGGTTAAAATAAAACAGCCTTTTTAAAAGCCGACCACAAACCTCCTAAGTGCTTCCCCATTTCATCCTTTATTATTTTCTTTATCTTCTATGTTAATTAGAAAAAGCTTTTCTCTGCTGCATCATTCACTTAAACAATGGTCAATTCATGAAACTTCCTCATCTCTTCATTTTAAGCCTAAATAATTCAACCTCAATGCTAATTTTGGACTCCGGGTTTTACTGATCCTTTTTAAAGCTTGCACTCAAGATGATGTTTTTGGTCCTATCTCTGTTGGAAAACAATAGAAGGATGGTGTATCTGCCTAGCCTGACGTAGTCCTACTCAATTCTAGTCAGAATATGAGTCTGATACTGCTCCATAGAGCTGTGATCATGGGGCGTGTTTCGAACGAACCAAAAAAAATGCCTCTACACTCAATTGGATAGACCTACAACCAATAAGAGCAATGGAGTGCGTGACGTATGTTAAGCCAGGCATAGTTGTTGTCAACAAAAATCAAAGCGTGCAGTTGCACGCCTAGAATAAGAAGATGAGCCTTGATCGCGTTTCTCTGTTCCTCTTTTAAAATTAATTTGCTGTCGATATCTTCTAGAACAGACCTAATAGCAGAATCTACACACCTCAACTCTCCAGCGGCAGCCATTGTTGTTGTCACCCATGCGCCCTTTAGTCACGTGGTTGATTACGTTACTGTTGATCATCTGTCCATCATCGTATAAAGCCCGCCCTGACAATTTGATTGGCCCGCCAGATATTGTGCTAGCATACTCGCGCTACTACTGAGCAATGCCAGACCGAACTTCCCGACCTCAAACGTTGTGGGCGGGACTAATTTCGGAATGGCACCCAGGCTAGTATCTGCCTCCCAGGCACGCTGAAAAAATTATATATAAATAAGTAAAACATTTTTTAAATACATTTATTTTCCCATAATTTTGGGAGGTAAAGAAGATGATCCACCAATGAAAATAATATTGTTTTTTTTTTTAAATAAAATGTTATTAAATTTGGACTGATAAATAGCAATTGGGGTGTTCAGACGGGTGTGAAAAAATCTGTTATGAGTTGCATTTGAGGAAATGGATTGGATTTGGGTCAGATTAGCCTGAAGTGTGACGATAGTCTTAATGTACCCACCAAATAAAAAAAAAATAAAAAACTTTTGGAAAAAGCATCCTGAATACCTATGCTGTGATGATGACGCTGAATATAGGTTGCATTTTGCAACTAATCAGTAGCAGAAAAACAAACTTGTCTCCTTGGAGATATTTCCACTCATAGAGACACAATCTGGTGTTCTGTGGTTAAGTAAAGAAGCAACACCTTTTGTTTACCTATTGTTGTTGTTTTTTTTAATGCATTTTTTTAAGTCCAACTGCAGATGTACTAACATTAAACTACCTTTCCTTTTAAAGTAAAAAAAAAGGAATCTTACTCTGCCAAACTATTACAAGACTATTTATATAACAATCAGTGCTATTATATATAACAATCATATTTTTTTTATTTTACTCTGAAATGACGCAGGTTTCATGAGTTGTTATTTAGGGTTACAATACTATTAGGATTATTTGCTAACTTATAGCTGATTTTTAACCAATATAATAATTTTTCCTGCTTTTTTTTGTGCAGGAGTGAATTGATTCTTAAAGTTTTTGTCAAAATGTTTCATAAAGCCTTTCATCAAGCCTTTTAGTTTATCTGTCATATTTCTGCTTCAAAGTCTTATTTAATGAGTTTCCAGCAAATGTGGAGCAGTGATCCTAATTTCTCATGCAGTCTATAGCTTAGAGTAATGCAGAGGTAACACCTTTCTAATTGCTGCACACTGAAGGCAACAAGTTAAAATATGATTTCAACACTCTTGCTGCTTACAACAACAGCAATTCAGGCTTTTTGGTGTTAATTCTGGTGAAAAAGATAGAAACAAAGTCACTTATTCCTATGGATAAAATAAACTTACAGTAACCAATTTGTTAAAAAAAATAAGGTTAGCAGCATTTGAAATAATAATTGCTTATTGGTGGCTGACATGGTACGCTATCAGGCTTCTAATAAAAGTCCTTTCTCTAAGAACTCTATCAGAACCCTGAAATACCGTATGTTCCTTTATGAGAATGACAACTAACAACAGCTCTGTATTATGTTTCGGCCTGCATATCTATCCAATCAACAATAATCTGGCACCAGTGTGTGAAATACTAAACATACAGGTCGGATTTTCAGTTTTTGTGGTCAGAAAGGTACCAATGAGAGAAATCTGTTTCCTTTAAGCAGACAGAAAATACAGGTGCTGGTCATAAAATTAGAATATCATGAAAAAGTAGATTGATTTCAGTAATTCCATTTAAAAAGTGAAACTTGTATATTATATTCATACATTACATACAAACTCATATATTTCAGATGTTTATTTTGTTTAATTTTGATGATTACAAATGACAACAAATGAAAATCTCAAATTCATCATATCAGAAAATTAGAATATTACTGAAGACCAATAAAAACAAAGGATTTATAGAAATGTTGGCCAACTGAAAAGTATGAACATGAAAAGTATGAGCATGTACAGCACTCAGTATTTAGTTGGGCCTCCTTTGGCCTGTATTACTGCAGCAATGCGGCGTGGCATGGAGTCGATCAGTCTGTGGCACTGCTCAGGTGTTATGATAGCCCAGGTTGCTCTAATAGTGGCTTTTAGCTCTTCTGAATTGTTGGGTCTGGTGTATTGCATCTTCTTCTTCACAATACCCCATAGATTTTCTATGGGGTTAAGGTCAGGAGAGTTTGCTGGCCAATTAAGAACAGGGATACCATGGTCCTTCAACCAGGTACTGGTAGCTTTGGCACTGTGTGCAGGTGCCAAGTCCTGTTGGAAAATGAAATCTGCATCTCCAAAAAGTTGGTCAGCTGCAGGAAGCATGAAGTGCTCTAAAACTTCCTGGTATGTGGCTGCGTTGACCCTGGACCTCAGAAAACACAATGGACCAACACCAGCAGATGACATGGCACCCCAAACCATCACTGACTGTGGAAACTTTACACTGGACTTCAAGCAACGTGGATGAAGTGCCTCTCTTCTTTTCCTCCAGACTCTGGGACCTTGATTTCCAAAGGAAATGCAAAATTTACTTTCATCAGAGAACATGACTTTGGACCACTCACCAGCAGTCCAGTCCTGTTTCTCTTTAGCCCAGGCAAGACGCTTCTGACGCTGTCTGTGGTTCAAGAGTGGCTTGACACAAGGAATGCGACAGCAGAAACCCATGTCTTTCATACGTCTGTGTGTGGTGGTTCTTGAAGCACTCACTCCAGCTGCAGTCCACTCTTTGTGAATCTCCCCCACATTTTTGAATGGGTTTTGTTTCACAATCCTCTCCAGGGTGCGGTTATCTCTCTTGCTTGTACACTTTTTTCGACCACATCTTTTCCTTCCCTTCGCCTCTCTATTAATGTGCTTGGACACTGAGCTCTGTGAACAGCCAGCCTCTTTAGCGATGACCTTTTGTGTCTTGCCCTCCTTGTGCAAGGTGTCGATGGTCGTCTTTTGGACAACTGTCAAGTCAGCAGTCTTCCCCATGATTGTGTAGCCTATAGAACTAGACTGAAAGACCATTTAAAGGCTGTTGCAGGTGGTTTGAGTTAATTAGCTGATTAGAGTGTGGCACCAGGGGCCATCAATTTTGAACCTTTTCACAATATTCTAATTTTCTGATATGATGAATTTGAGATTTTCATTTGTTGTCATTTGTAATCATCAAAATTAAACAAAATAAACATCTGAAATATATGAGTTTGTATGTAATGTATGAATATAATATACAAGTTTCACTTTTTAAATGGAATTACTGAAATCAATCTACATTTTCATGATATTCTAATTTTATGACCAGCACCTGTACATGCTGGCTTCTAGCTGCACTAAGCAGAGATGGATCAATGAGTCACACCTGCAGGCATGCTGCTCTGCAGATAATAATCATATCAATATTTCTGTTTCCAAATGTTAATTTCACATTGTAAACAAAATATATATACAGTTGTTTCTTAAATTAAACCACTCTTTAAACTGATTCCCATTTAATATCTGTGTTACATCATTTGAGAGGATTTCTTTCTTTTAAAATTCAGGATGAATATTTTGCCTTTTTATAGGGATACTTAAAAATGCTTGATTATTGAAGATGACTGGATTGGCTCCAATTTTTCCATGAAGTGACAAATAAACTATTTAACCTTAGATCCAGGAACACTGAAAACACATGAGGGAAAGATGATTTCTTGCTGCTTTAGCTAACAGTTGGGTCTTCTCTTCAGGTGTCTGTGTACCTCGGTAGAGGCGGCTTCTCATTTCTTCAGCCTGAGCTGCTGACAGGATCAGAGGTTTATGCCAGATACGGCTCTGCCATCACAGCAGTGGGGGACCTGGACAAGGATGGATACAATGGTTAGATCCTTTACCATTTTTAGGGCAATGTTTTTCCTAGTTTATACCCTGTAGTCATGTTTGGGTCATCAAAAAAGGTTTTTAAACATATAGGAACTCATCAAAGCCATTATGACTTGAAGGATTCAGACTATTTAATTCACATAACAAAACTGAATCTTGTTGCTAATTTACATTTAATTTCCATGATGCTAATTTGTTACAAAAGACCAACACTAATCCCAGTGGTTATGTTACTCCTGTCTCCTCCACTCTCAGATGTGGCCATCTCTGCTCCCTATGGAGGCGCAGACAGAAACGGCTTGGTCTACATCCATAATGGCAACGCGTTGGGGCTCAACGCTACAGCTTCTCAGGTAAACTTAGACAGTTTGCTTTAGACATTAGCCTAAGGTGAATGTCAACAGTGAAATGCAGCTGACAGTAATTTTGTGGATGGCATTGGAGAAGGTCAGTTGTTATCGGAGAAAAAGATCAATTCAGTTTGGAATCCGCAGCTGACCTTTGAAAAGATTAAAGCAATAAATACACTGGACCTGTAAGCTGTGAAACCAGATGTTGTGTTTTTTGTTTATTCACAAACTGGAGCATATACCTCTCTGAAATTAAAAGCTCATCATAAATTAGGAACAGCTTCACCTATTACGTGTCCAAAAACAATTATACTTATGCTGTTACGTGTCCGCCGTTTTTACTGCATAAGTCAGAAGTCCTCCGTCCTTTAAAGTCTGACTGATGTCCCAGCTCTCAGAAACATCAAACAAGGAGATCCTGTTCGTAACACTAAATTGTTATCGAAAAAGTCCTAGTCATACTCAAAAAAAATAGAGATTGCTGGTCTTTCTTCAAACAGCAATAATTAATACTTGCAAGGAAGAACTGATACCGTCTTTGGAAATATTTTGTCTGTTCTTGTCAAACAACACATTCATCAATAATAATTTTTTTTCAAACCTTTCATTGTCCTGAATCAAACCAATAATCGTTGGGTCGTCTGCAGCCATCAGGAGTTTTCACCGATGGGTCCACTAAAGTGCAGTTACTTATGTAAAGAGAGAAGAGAAGTGGGCGAAGAAAACAACCCTGGGTGTCGCCCGTTCTGATTGTTCTTGTGCAAGAGAAGATGCCTCCCAGCCTCGGTCAGGCATGTGTAGGCCGGTACTGTTAGCTGGCTGGACTTCTGGTAGATGATATGTGGGTTGATGGTGTTGAGCGATGAGCTGGAGACCTCAAACAGGACCCAGGTGTATGTCCTTTAGTGGTAGAGATAATAATTGTTATAAGAACTGTAGATAGTGACTATGGTAAGATCAACAATGTTTGAAAGGGTTAAATTCAGCTGTTCTGATCTCGATAACTGCAGAGAAAGAAGGCTTCTTTAACTAAACGCAGAAAAAGGACATGTACAGTAGCTAGTCCTTAGCCTCCTAGCCACCTTTCCAAGTATCCGTTGAGCTTTAGCCAAACAAAAATATTTTTATTAAAAGGATGGTTTATCTGTTTAACTTATCGATTTAATAGTTCAAGTGGAGCATAAAGCCATGTGCTTCTATCCCATAGCAGAGTTGTTGGAGTAGAAATATGGGGGATTTTGTCTGAGTTTGTTTAATTAGTGTCTTTATTTCTGAGTAGCATTAAACTGAGGAACCATTTCCTTCAGACATTCACAATAAGAGCCTTTAACATAAAAATACTTCAATCTAAGCATCAGGTGTTGTGTTTTTTCTTTTAATTAAAAGAGTTTGAAGTTGCCTTTAAGCTGAATCAGGGTTTGGCACATTTGTGGTTCAAAACAAAGTTCTACTTCCATCACATCTTGTCTGTTTCGCAGGTCCTGAAGGGTAAGTGGGCGTCCAGCTACATGCCTGCTAGCTTTGGATATTCCATGACAGGAAATACCGACATCGATCAAAATGGATATCCAGGTAAAAATAGAAAATAACAGAAACTCACACAAACATGTTATAGAGAGGCTCAGAAAAGAGCTAACATGCTGCTGGGAATAAAACCCAACTGTGATCTTGTCCAATAGATTTAATAGTTGGAGCGTTTGGAGCAGACAAAGCCATTTTATACAGGTAATCCCATCTAAATCTAATTTTCTGTGTCCTGGTATGTGTGTGGTGCACATGTGAACGAATGGGTGGGTTTGTGTGTGTAGTGGGGGATGTAGTCCCCTGCTGTGGCTGTGTGATGCTTCTGACTAAAAGTGAGGAGTTTAATGAGCGAGGCCACCTCTGATATCAAAGAGCTACTGTTTTTCATTCACCTCACTCCTACTGGCTTTATAGAAGCTGAGGGCACGTTTGCTCCTAACTGCACACAGGAATATTCACTGCATAGTTTATATTTACTCCTTCGTATAACAATACATTAACCCTTCCTAATCCAAGAAAATCTTCTCTGTAAATACTGAACCTTAAATCTGTATTTATTGTAACAAAACTTCATGAACCTACTAGAGTTGGTCACCTTTAGTCAGCCATGAATATGTGGGAAGTGATTTGGCCTTTTCTGTTTTTCTGTGCATCAGAGCTCGTCCAGTAATCAATGTGAACGCTACTATAGAAATAACCCCCTCCATCATCAACTCAGAGGAAAAATCCTGCACCATTCCTGGTACCAGCACTGCTGTGTCATGGTGAGTGTTCCCTTTTCAGATGAGACGTCCTTTTTTATCCCGACACAGTATGATTTCTGATAAAAATAGATTTCTGTTCTTTTATGAGCTTTTGAAGGTAACTTTTGGCTGGTAGCACTGATTACTACTACAGCTATCCATGATCCTTAAGTTCCATATTTGCTTTCATATATTAAACTGAAACCAACAGATTTGTGTCTATTCAAACATTTAGATTTGTTCAGAACCTGCTTCTACTCTTATAAATCTGACTGATTTTACTTTATTTTTAGTTTTAAAGTGAAGTACTGTCTGGCTGCTGGCGGCGTTGGAGCTCCATCCTCTCTGAGTGAGTAAAACAGCTGCAGGACATGCTACTGATCATAGCTGTCTGCTAGCCACCTGTGTGGCTACCACAGTAAAGACTGGAAGGCTAACATTACCTGAGTTGGTTTTACTGGTTTAAATTTAGACAATATCACACTGCATCACTTCCTCAAAGGTCTCTGGAGCCATTTATAGACTCAAAAGAAGAGAGATTGCTGGTCTTTCTCCAAACAGTAATAATTAATCTTTGCAAGGAAGAACAGACACCGTCTTTGGCATTATTTTGTCTGTTCTGGTCAAACAACACATTCATGAATAATATTTTTTTTTCAAACCGCTCATTGTCCTGAATCAAACCAATAACCGTTGGTTCGTCTGCAACCATCAGGAATTTTCACCGATGGGTCCACTAAAGTGCAGTTACTTATGTAAAGAGAGAAGCCACCTGTGTGGTTACCACAGTAAAGACTGGAAGGCTAACATTGCCTGGTGTAAATTTAGACAATGTCACACTGCATCACTTCCTCAAAGGTCTCTGGAGCCATTTATAGACGAGATATCTGTTAAAAAAAACAAACGTGTTTGGCTTTTGATCATTATCTTGAGCTAACCTGAAATCAAAATCAAATAGGAAAATAATGAACGACTGTTTAAAGTCACAGTAAAGCAGTCTGAGAAACACATTGTTCTAATATGCTATTTGTATAAAGCTTCAGTTGTATAGCTCTGAAGCTCTTGCTAGCACAGCTCTCCATCTAGGCTAGCATATCCTGGCAGCAGCCGCTCAAACAAAAACCTTCTTGTGATTCATACCTGTTTATCAATTTCAATGCGTTCTGGCTCAAACTGAAAACTTAATGTTACTCATTGCAGTTTTTCGTTGGATAGGGCTAATGCTAGTGCTACAAGACTTTGCATACATCATTTATCCAGATTGCATTGCAGCACAATGGCAACATCCATGCGAAAATGTTTTATCATTAAAACAAAACCACTTTCAGTATTTGTGCCAAAACTAATAATTTTTCAAACAAGGCTATTGCTACAAGTAATCGTGGATCCCTTTAACATCAAATTTTTATGGCCACTTTGTGGTTCACACAGCCATGAGGGAGACTGCAAGTAGCATTAATCCCAAGAGCTTCTTTGAGTGGATACACTGGACATGAATGAATCTACTTTTCAGTTGTTTTTTTTCCCCATTTGACCGAAAAGCTGAGTCTAACCTCCTGCTGGCAAGCTCTGTGGCCACTGTCCCCCACCACTGCATGTCTGATAACGGCATTGCGCTGGGTGAGTTTTTTACTAATGTCAACAACACAGATGAAATCTGTGAAGTAAATAAAGGAGAGCAACATGGACAGGAGACAGAGCATACTCTAACGGTGCCTGAAAACTGCTGATGAATCTCCTCTTCTCAGTGGATCATGAGGAGCTCACAAATCTCTCTATCTTGCTAGTGCTGTGCCATGTTTCGCAAATACAAGAAGAGTTGTTTGGGCTTGTTATTTAACACATGAGACCGGTGCGATGTGACGTGCTTACACTGCCCTCAAAGTCATCAAATAATTTAGAGTGTCAAGCCAGGTCTGCTGTTCCCACAGCATGCCGGTCAGAGCTGAGGCGATTTTAATGTGGGTTGCTTGCCCAGTCGTTTGACCTGGCTAGACATGCGTCAGTGAGCTGTTCCCACTGCCACTGATTGTTCCTGGGTTTAAACAGGTCTTTCAGGAAATGGGTATTAGTGTCAGCAAACCGTTTCAGATGCAGCTGAACATACTGGTACCAACAATTGTTACTATGGAAAAAGTGATTTGTCTCTTTAGATATTAATCCATAAAATCTTCCAACTGGGGTAGCTCTAGGGGGCAGACTCCTTACTTTAAGAATCACTCCCTGATTTAAAGCTTAGAACCAGCAGAATGTATTTAACATTAAGGTCTATCAATGACACCAGCTGTTGTTTAAATCGGACAGGTCATTCTGATGCCATTGCTACCATCTCTTTCCTCCACTCTACCCAGAATCAGGCTACATCAGTAACTATTGCAGCCCCTTTTTGTGGATGCTTGAAAATATGTGGATATTCTTTCTCTGCACCATTTTTTAATGTGATGACCACCACATTCTTAACTAACTTCCAAGAGTCTCTAAAATAATTATGTTCTGGATGAATTTTGACTTGGTAATTCAGTCTGTGAACGGAATCTTACCAGTGAAAATGCTATGTGAAAAGTGGCCCACCTCAGGTTTTAAACCCAACAGTGTCAATTTTGTTTTCATTCCAATCAAGAAAACAATTTTTTTTTTAAAACTCCTTTCTTAAGCCAAACAGCTTGCAGCAACATATAGGGGAGAGGGCCTTACTCTGCTATCCACTTTATTTGATCTCGTTTAATTTCATGTGTGAGTAATAGACTGACGGCATGTGATTCCCTCTCATGTGGGCTTTTATTTCCTCCCCCAGGTTTTAGTGTGGACCTCACTCTGGATCGCCTGAAGCAGAAGGAGGCAACCAAACGCACGCTCTTCCTGTTCAGTCAGAAGTTTCAGTACTCTAAAAATACGACGGTGATCAGCAACAAACTCGCCTGTGAGGAGCAGGACGTCTTTTTAAGGGTGAGAAAGAGTATTAAACCCCAATGAATTTATTTTCTTCAATTTGTGGTCATGAAGTTTTCTAAACACTGCAGAAGGCAATGTAGGTTTATTTCTACAGCTCATTAGTGTTCATCTCTCTTTCCTTGCATCCATGATATTTATAGTGCACTTTAGGTCGCCAATCTCCAAATGCCACAACAAAAGTAAGAAATTAAGTAATGAAAATAACTTAGTTGAAACTCCATAATGCCTTGTCAAGAAGTGCTAAAAAAAAAAGACGCAAAAGTGAGCTTCAGATTAGTAAAAAGTGCTTGGCAGATGGTAAATATTTACATTTTTATTACCTTATCTTTGAATTTGCTCACTTTGGTCATTAAAACAGGATTTTGAAGAAGGCAAACATGCAGACAAAGGCTTACAAACATACTATCTGCTGATTACAAAAGCAAAACTGTGCCTTTTACAGTTTTTGTGCGTTTAAACACATTTGCACATTTTAGGAGACGTAAACCTTCTAAAGATCAGGTCAATAGTGTTTCAATAATTTTCGGAGGTGACTTTCTACCATCAGTTTTCTTCTTTTAACCCCAGCCTCCCTTCTCCTCCTCCACTTTGTTCCCAAGGAAATTAAGCTGTTTAACCTTTTATTTGCACAGCTTTTCAAGGGACTGATGCCTTATTAGGGCAGAGAGTGAGATATTATTACAGAATTATGACAGCAATGTTTGGCTACGTAAAGTGCCTTGAATTACTATTCATACTCCTCTGGTTTTACCAAAAGTGGGATATTATTTTTAAAGTTGCAAAAAAGTAGATTTTTTTTTCTTTTTTACCAATTGAAAAGTCTCAGATGTTAGCTTTTAGTTCACTTGACTCTCATCAACTATTTATTAAATCATATAACATGTCTTTTAAAGCCCCATGATTCCACTTTTTTATTTTTGCACATATTTATAATCTATTTGCTTTTTACAATGAAAGTTGCAGATAGGATAGGATGAGCATTCCCTTCATATACTGTTCAATTTTTGTGTGATCTTATGAAAGTATTTCGTCACGCACCATACGGCATGAAATCATTAATCCTTGGCAAAACGTAAACTTCGACGCACTTTGTGCATCACTATTTACTCTTTTGACCTACTCCAGTAAGAAACTTTATCTGTGCGCCAGATCTGGGAGTGCTGCTAGACATCGAAACAGATTGGACAAAAGACGGATTTCGAAGCAGTTGTTGCTGGGGAAAGTGACTAATTTAGGATGATAGTTTACAGATATTTGAAGGTTTGGTATAATGTATCACCTCTATATTACATACCTGCTGCATTAAACAGTCAATTAAAGAAACATAATTAGCTGCATTTTAAATCAAACATCTTCCCAAAGACAACCCAAAACAAAATAAGTCCTATAATCTTCAAATAATAAATACAATTTCTGTAGCATAAATATATTTAATTAAGCACCATCTTCCTTAAATTGAAATATATTTAATATTATGCACTTACAAATTGGACAATACAGTTATTTTTCTTATTGTAAACTGAGATTATCTTTTTCCATCAGCAAATATACATAAATTCTCAAATCAAGGGACAATATAATTACTTTTTGCAGTTCATTGGCTTCAATCAGTATAAAGGCTCTCTGGTTTATTGCCATGTAATCTAACAAATGCACCTGTTTGCTGTCAGGATTGATGCACCTTGTTACTGTTTTTATTAATATTAGCTACTACATGACTGGTTCAGAAATCAAAAAAGTTTGTTACTTTTTTTTATTTTTATTTATAAGGAATACTGTTTGAGAGTCTATCCTGCTACTATTCACAAAATTCTCCCCTTATAAAAGTTGTTTCAGTTTAGTGCTGCAGATGATTCTCCTTATTTATTAGCAGTTTCCATGGTTACTGCTATGATGTTCTTGCGGTTTTTTTGGAAATGTTTCTCTTTGGATCATAAAAATCCTGCAGGTTGAAGTTGAACATCAGTCTTTTCTATTGGATATTAATGTGGTGCATCTCAGGCAGCAGCTGCGTTTCTGTTGGCTGATAGATGTAGCTGGTAGCAGCCGTCACTCCATTAGATTGTCATTTTAAATATCAGAACCTGTCAGATCAGTTCATCACAGTTTATCTCTGAAAAGTCGTCATAGAACATGCCTCACCGTGCGACCAAAGAGTCCATGATTTCCCCAAGGCCCTCGTCTGTCAAAGTGTCCCTAAACATATGAATTTCTACTAAAACTTTTCTTATTGATATAAACAAAAACATTGAATATTTCTGCTTTACTTGACTTCCCAGGTTTCTTAAGTCTGAAACTGCAGATCTAATTCCCTTCTCTTTGTCTTCCAGGATGATCGTGAGTTTCGGGATAAGATCACTCCCATCTCCGTGGTGATGGACTACAGTCTGGACTACCAGCTGGCTGCAGATCAAACCGGACTGCTGCCCATTATCAATAACCGGGTGCAGCAAAGCGTCAGCAGGCAGGTAAACTTAACGAGGGTGGGGCAGGGGGTGGGCTTTCTAGAACCTGGACAGAACGTCAGCACATATATGAGCATAGAGCTCCGGTGAAGCTCAGTGTTGGCTGTTAGTAAAGCTGGTTTCATTGGTCGCTTCCTAATTGATTAATTTCAATGTGTAGATAAAAGACTCCAGGTTATTCAGCCTCGAGGCAGATTAGCAGTAAACGGCTGATTTTCATTTTTTCTTAAACCTTTCTAGGGCAAGTTAGCATTTTTGATCACTTGCATACCCCTTACAAATTGATTCCCCCCATCCCTCAGTGAGGTCTAGAAACACAAGATCTATATCCAGCCATTCAACAAAGATACTGCTATATGGCTGCACATCTTATTTTGGCATTTGATTAAGTAGATGAGCCCTTGAATGATATATTGCTTACTGTAAATTAAGTAAAAAAAAAAAAAAAAGTTATCAAGTTAAGAAAAAAGGTAAAAATGTAAATGCTCAGTGGAGCAGGGATAGCACTGCTGCCTTGCAGCAAGAAGGTTTGGGTTTGATTCCTGGCCTGGGGTTTGCATGTTCTCCCTGTGCATGTGTGGGTTCTCTCCGGGTACTCCGGCTTCCTCCCACCATGCAAAAACATGACTGTTAGGTTAAATTAAAAGAAAACTCCACCCATAAGAGTTTTGTGTCATTTGGAGCTGTTCTGAAGATATTCCATTAGGTTATATCCAAGTAATATCTTCCTGTGGGCAGAAGACTTGAAGGCACAAACTAAACTGTTCATAATTTATCATTTATGGTACGCCTCTAAGGTTATGTTGAACCAAAAAAATGTTTCTTTCACTCTCAGAATGTTTTCATGAATTTCTTTTGTTATTTTTCTTAATATATTCAAGAAGTTTGTATTTCTTATTACACAGACATTAATTTTTCCCATCCAAATATCCATATTTTTTTAATGTTACAAAGGTAATAAAGGTAATAAGGTCTTGTCCTGGATTCCAATAACACTATTGGCTTAAAACTTTGATTTTCAAAGTATTTCACTGAGTGCCCTTTAAAGGGTTAAACAGACCTGTTTTGTTGTCTCCTCCTGTCGTCTTGTGTTTCAAACATCCTGTTCTTGTAACTTTCTGTAAGGCTCACATTCTACTGGATTGTGGGGATGACAACATCTGTAAACCTGACCTCAGGCTGTCGGTGGAGAGGTTGGTGGAACAGTCAATAAAAGCAATTAACAGACAGATAACAGTTATTAAAAGGTTGGAAGTTTTAAGCTTCTTGTCCTCTGATTGGCTGCAGCGACCGTGAACAGATCTACATCGGCGATGACAACGCTCTGACCCTAAAGGTGACCGCTGAGAATCAGGGCGAAGGGGCCTACGAGGCCGAGCTCTACGTCTACCCCCCTCAGCAGGCCGACTTTACCGGGGTTGTTCGCAGTCAGGTAAATATTTTATCCCTAAATCCACTTCACATTAAAAACAGGACAATTCGCTTTGGATCCACGCCCTAAATTTAGCATGAAGGAACCTGTTGCTCCTGATCTGGTTTAGTGATAAACTAAACCTTCAGATCGGAACTTATCTTTTCTAGCAAACATTTTGGTCTCTTCTGATCTGCTGACAGGAAGTCAGTAGATGGGAGCAGAGCTGGCTGACCCATGGTTTATTTCAGCAGTTTACTGTCTGATGTTAGGCTTAATTATTTTATCAGTAAACATGTTTTTTAAATAATCCGTTTTTAATTAATATTAATAAAGTGACCATTGAACCATAGAAGCATGGAACAGATAATTCTCCTCTTCTGGTGAAATAAAGCTCTGCTGTTCTTCCTGTGCTTTCTGCAGGCCCTCTCCAGGCTCTCCTGCGCCTACAAGAGGGAGAATGAGACCAAGATGGTGGTGTGTGACCTTGGAAACCCCATGAAGGGAGGCACTAAGGTCAGTGAAGGGGAACTGAAGGTGGCCAACACTTTGCATCTGTAGAATCTAAAACCACAAGTTTACAGAGTAAAATATGAAAAGTGGCTAATTTGAAGCTGCAACTGAGCTTTGTTTTAGTAAAGCCCTTTATCATGTCCCCAAAGGGCTGCTCTTATCACAAATTTCCACAACTGACTGCTTTAAAAGCTTTTCTTAAAATAACCAAAAAAAACACCAATAGTTATCTGTTTGGTTCTGAACTGCTTCTGCTGACTCTGTTGGTCCTGCCTTTGAATTCCAGCTCATTTCCAGACCCACATTCTGTGTAAACACAGCTAAGTCTGTCAGGCTAAGGAAAGATATGCCATGATCCCGAAATGTTTTATTTTTTGTTATGTTACAAACACAAACTTATTACGTATTGTCGGGATTATATTAAACAAAGAAACACAAATTGCAAAATTATCCTTTTTTAATAAATGTGTCCAATGATACGATCAAGTAAAATGATAAAATCAAACACAAACAGCATAAAAATAAAACAACAAGCCGGTCCCATCTAGGCTTAATCGGAGAAATTGACAGACGAAGTGTGCTTCTGATGTCCAGTCTGCTCCGTAGCTTTGTTTTGGTCGCTGTAACCGCAGAAAATCCCGCTTCACAAAGATAGGATGTTATAGATAGGATGAGTCTTGAACTGAATTTACCTGTGTCAAGAGACTGATGTAATTGGGAGAGAATACCGCAATTTTTTATGTATTTCAAAATAAAACTTTACTCAGACTTTGATTGTCAATAAATTATATATATATATATATATATATATATATATATATATATATATATATATATATATATATATATATATATATATATATACACACTATTTTTTTGTGCGGCCTGGTACCAAATGACACACGGACCGGTAACGGTCCCCGGCCGGTGGTTGGGCACCGCTGCTGTATGTCATACATCATACTACCTGTCATGTCCCAATAAATCAGCCTGATGTTTGTGTTTTTTTAAGTGACCAAATAAACTGCAGGGGGGGTGATTTCTTTTACAAGTCTCTTTCTTAGCGGTATCTTGTTTAAAATATTTTTTTAATGATGAAAAATCTCTACCTGCTGTTTTCTAACATGTTTTTTTTGTGTGTGTATCTCTTCCTGCTCTCTCATTGGTCCCCTCCTGCTGCTTTCTGTGGTTTGATTGGTCAGATCGTAGCAGATTTGAGGTTCAGTGTTCACCAGCTGTCAGAGGAGGATACTTCAATCAAGTTTGACCTTCAGATAGTCAGGTAGGTGTTGTTGCCGCCTCAGCAGAATCCACTCATTTGAACTCAAGTGAGTCCAGCTCCCCCTACTGGCTGCAGCAGAGAATGGCTTTATTTTATGAGGAGGAGTGACTATTGAAATGTTTTTCCAGCTGAAGGGTTGTTTTGCAATAATGAAAAGTTATAGAAAAGAGAAAAATATGAGAAAAAAGCAGTGAAATAAAAATATTTTAGTTAGTTACATTAGTTTTTTTTTTTTCCTCTTTAGTTTGATCCAGTTTACTATTTTATTTCTGAGATATTTTTAATAGTTATTGCAGATGTCTCCATATCAGGCAGATTATCCATCTTATGTGGAGTCTGACTTTTAACTGAGTGGCGAAAATATAACTATTGATGGATGTACTGCAGATAGATTAACTCTCTTGACTAAAGAAAGAGCAACATCTTTATCTGTAAAATGATTTTCTATCTACAGCCTGTTTATGAATGAATGAAAGTTCATGTGTTTCCTCAGAGAACAGAACCAGAACTCCCACCCAAACACAACCCATCATGTAACTCCAGCAGTTAAAGCTAAGCTGTTTTCTCTTGAAAGTGAAAGAAGCAGCGAACACCCCGCCTCCGCCTGCATGTTTGCGCGTCTTTGGCAGAGAGCAGCGGGGGAGGGGGGAGGGATACAGAACTATGTTAATGAGAGGTTTCAGCTTTTTTTGGTCACACTCCTCCTCAATTCTCTGGTACTTGCTGACTACAACAAACGTTTACTCAACTTGCATTTTTCCAATAGTTTAACCAGCTCCCTAAAACGTTACTCGAGGGGGGAAAAAATTAAAACCATGATCATGTTAATTAAATCCAACATCAGTGAGCCTGAATTTGTCCTTTTTTATTTTAAAAGATCATTGATTTAATGAATAAATATATGAGTAAACTGCCCTAAATAAGAATTCACACCCCTTGACCTTTACCACATTTTCTCACATTACAGCTTCAAACTTTCTTTGGTGGAATGGAACATGAATCAGAAAAAAATGTTTTTACAAATAAAAATCTGTCGTTTTTTTTTTCCTCCTCAAGGAAATCCTTGCTAATGAAATTTAGCTGAAAGTAGAACTGCAGGTAGAGCTGAACATAGAGCTGTAGGTAGAACTGAAAGTAGAACTGCAGGTAGAGCTGAACATAGAGCTGTAGGTAGAACTGAAAGTAGAACTGCAGGTAGAGCTGAACGTAGAGCTGCAGCCTCTGATTGCTCAAATCTACATCCGCTCTACACTATGCGTATTTGCTGTTTGGTACCTTCATGATTCATTACTTTGTTTTCTTCTCTCTGTCACAAACAATTTAGTGTGAAATGTAGTTAAATGACAGCAGTCAGTAGAAGGTCATATTAATAATTAGTAAGGTAAATAGTTTGTCTTTAGCAGATGTTGACCGAACCTTTGCTGATTAGAACATGGGAGAGAAATCTCTGAAAAGACAGTTATAATACTAAGGAGCCATACAGTAAAGCTCATCAAAAAAAAAAGTTCAATACCTTCTAAATAACCTTTGAACAGATCTTAATTGATATTTTATTAATGAAACTCTTAGTGAAGTACACTAGTAACTCTAGTGAAAACTTAGTGGCTGGAATTTTCTGTTTTTCTCTTTTATTAATCTTTAAGTATTAATATTAATATTAAGTGATTTGGGTCAGGATTCTGGCTGCTTCCCTTCAAAGCCTTTATGTTACCTCCTGTCAGAAGAACTATGTTGGTCAAATGAGAAGATGAATTAAAAATGGATCTTCCAGCACAGAGAAGGTGCACGTTATTCATTTAATCATTGATTGAATTTGATTGTTTTTCAGCTCTAACCAGTTTCAAAACACAAGTCCTCGAGTCTCCAAGGTCACCCAACTGGCCATCCTCTCCAAAGTCTCCATCAGAGGGTAATGGACACATTTAACCCATGCAGACATGGAGTGTTATTAGCTTTATTCTAATCAGTTTCAGCTTTATTCTGGACCGGATAAACCTGTCAGGGTGACACATTAATGCTGGTTTCCTTTTCCAGTATGATGTTGATATATATCTTCATATTGTCTTTATTTTTAATGTCTAAATGTTTGGAGTAGAGCAGCAACATTATAATAATTAATTATATAATAAATAATAACATTACAGCGGTCTGGATTTGTATCCATGGAAACTGTGTGTTTTCCTCCCAGGTCGTCGTCTCCCACTCAGGTCCTGCTGCCGATCGCCAACTGGAAACCAAAGAACCCTCCGGTGGTTGGAGACGACATCGGACCTCTGATTGTACACGTTTATGAGGTAGAAATGCCAGAGAATACAGTTATGCTTCCTTTTATCCGTTTCTGCTTTATAACTCAGAGTGTTTTCAGCTTTAAATCCTCAGAAACACCTTTTTTAATCCTGGGAAAGGAAGCAGGACCAGAAACTGATCATCACAGTTCTAGTTGACGACAGCGTGAACCTTTTATTTATGTGCTATTGATTTTCATGCAGCCAGTTGAACAGAATAAAGCAGGCTCGGACTGGTATTCTGTGATACTGGGCATTTGCCCGGTGGGCCGTTCCTAATTTCAGCGCGTGAGCGCCGGCCCTCCTTAAATCATACCGGCCCCAACACTTACACTCCCACCGAAGCTCCTACCTGTGACAGAAAATAACTCAAGGAGCTGAAGAAGTAATCCAATGTTAACTACCTAAATGATGCATGCGGTATCTATAGCCCTTCCTTGTCATGCACATCCTTATGATGGTTGGCATATGGTGTCATTTTCTATTTCTTCAAACTGTAAAATCCTTGCAACAAATTAAATTATAAAAAAAACTGTTAGGATAATTATCATTGAAGATGTGTGAGTTTATTACACCTTAGTATTGGCTGCCTGTTGCGTGTCAGAAATGATCTAATTAATACAGTTCCTCTGTCTGGGTATACAGTTATAATCTTCATTCTGTATGTGGCAAAGATCTGGAGATTTATTGAAAGCGGTGTCCTTCAGCTAAGAACGAAGTGTAATATTTTGACAAGGCTGGAGTCATGGATGTCTAATCATCTGCTAACATGTATGATGTAAAACATGATGACGTGGCAGACTGGAGATGTATAAAATGCCTGTTAATCAGGGCCACTTAATGAGAGGTGAGCCTGGAGGTGAGCAGCTGCCATTCTGTAAACTCTAAGCAATTTCTCTGATCTGAGTAAGATTATAATTTCTATCAGAATTTGTTGTCATTTCTCCTGGTTATTTAATACCTATAAGTTATTTAAAGTTTTATTTAAAGAGTTTGTCCCAAGTGAGTTTTCAGGGAAAAGAACCGGAGAGATAGAGCTTTAAGGTGCAGACACAGAGCCTTTCTTTAACAAAGCTAAGATGCTTTCTTTAAACCAAACTAAGATGTTCCTCTTATATTTGGCGAATTTATGTTAGAATATTTTGCAAAAAATGTTGCAGTGCATGATGGGGATTTGCATCTGTTTCCATTATTCCATTTCATTGCCCACATGCCTCCTAGACTCCCAGTGAATGCTTACACACCGCTGAGCTTTCATGTATTCATTGTTGAAGAACTCCCTGTCTGCCTCTGTATTGTATTGGTTTATGTTGGTGTTTTTACATCACTCGGGCTTACTTTGTAGACCTAGTATGTGTGCAAATGTGGACATTACGCAGCAGCAGTCACTATCGTGTCCGTGTTAATACTGAAACCAAAACATTATTGAAGAAGTCTTGGTCTATAAGTGGGCCGGTGTAGATGGAAAATTGCCAGGGTCGAAAGATCGCTCCCAGTCCGAGCCTGGAATAGAGTAACCTTTACTCTTAGGGGCTTGATATCCCCACAGCAGGGTGTCACAGTGAGCCTGTTGCAGGTATGATGCAGATAATTTTGATTTATGCCCAATATTGAAGCATGGTCTTCGCTATGTTATTCCACGCCACAACGCAAGAGGGACAATCAAGAACTAGCTTTGGGTCTAGATACGGCCGAGGCGGTGAGGAAGTGGAGGGAAGTTTGTGCGAAAACGGAGGGACATGAGGGTGAAAAACAGCGAGGATCCAGGTGGAAAAAGGGTCCCAGCATTCTGAAAGCAGTCCCAGAATAACGGAAGCAGTTTGTTAAAAGGATTAAATAAAAATTCTTAATTACATTTAGATTCTGACTGTATTGAGCGTATTTGCCCTCAATTTAAGCAGGTAAATGGGTTCAATAACAATGGGAAAGCTTTTTGGCTTAAAATAATAATTATTTTAAATGCAAATCATTTTATTCTATTGGCCAATTTTCCTACAAGTTGTCCTGCTCAAAACTATTCAAAACAAGGCAAAATACACTAATGATTTACTTAGATTTCCTTTTTTTTGGTGTTGCTTTTAGAGAGAATCTGTTGTTGGATCCACTTGTCTTTACTTTTATTGATCTGGAGCGTCTGCCTGACTGTAACAGTTCAAACAGAACATGACTGTTAGAGAAGTCAGTCTTTAATAGTGCGATGATATAGCAAAGGCTGATGCTGTGTCCGAATGTCCACCATAATAATTACATAGGGCACTATATAGTGGTTACACCATTTTAAAAGAGAGTCCGCAATTTCCCACAATGCACCTTGAAAAGTAGTGATCATCCATGGTCACTCTATGAGCAGAAATATCCCAGAATGCTTTGCAAGAGCTCTCCTTGCATGGAATCAGATAATTTGTTGGCGGTGACAAAGATGGCACAGGGTACCGTACGGGGAGGCAGAGTAACGTGACCAACAGGAATCAAAAATTTGTTATCATCTGCCCGAATGGTTAGTTAACTATAATGTCCGCTATAGAGTCCCCGATCTATATAGAGATTTAGGGATTTAGGGGTAGGTAGGTAGGTAGGTCTGTAGGTAGGTAAGTAGGAAGGAAGGAAGGACATAATTTATCTCACAATGGAGAAATGAAATCTCTGCATTTAACCCATACCCCTGGGTAGCAGTGGGCTGCCACTGTGCGGCGCCGAGGGAGCAGTGTGGAGTTAAGGGCTTTGCTAAGGGACCCAGAGAGCCGGCTGTTGGGATCAAACGGTGTACTTGCAACCTTCTCAGAGGTCAAGCGAACTGCTCTAATCACTAGGCCAACACTCCCCCATAAACGTTAGGACAGACATTCAGCCTCAGCCAGTTCATCCAGTGTGGGATGATGTCAGCCAACCTTCCTACGGGTCAAGATGATTACCTTCTTAACTGTACAGCTGATGAACTGAAAAGAGATGCATTAGATCAGTCATTCTTAAACAGTGGTAGAGTGCCCTCTGGTGGTACGCAGGGACTTAATGGCATTTTTAATAAACCTTAAAGGAATAGTACACCCAAAACATGATTAGCCTTCATTTTCTACTCACCCCCATGCTGAACAACACTCTGGAGTACTTTTTTGATATCTCAAATGCATCTGGAGATCTGGGAGGCTTCTTGCTGTCTGCTGACATTCAAATAATGGAGGTCTATGGTGCCCGAGGCAGAAAGGTCCATAAAAGTCCACAAAAAACGTGTCAATATTCCTCCATACTGCTCGTCCAATGTATTCCAAGTGTCCTGAGTGGGTAGCATCCAGAATTTACTCGAAACGAAGTCATTTAGAATGTTTTTAGAGCATAAACAGTAGTGTATAGGATTTCCTAAAAGCGCGCGCCTGCAAGTTCACAACGCTACGGAAGCCGGCAGACCAAACCAGATGAAAGTGCGCATTCAGTGTCTGCTCTGCCGATAATGCAAGTGTAGAAGAAGAAATGTGCTGTTTACCTGTGCAAAGAAAGAAACAACGAAAGAAAAATGTCTGAGGACTTCAGTGTTGAGGAAGAGCATGAGTTCTTTGCCGAGCTGAATGCGCACTTTCGTCTGGTTTGGTCTGCAGCGGTTTCCGTAGGCTCGTGAACGCGCATGTGCGCGCTTTTAGGAAATCCTATACACTACTGTTTATGCTCTAAAAACATTCTAAATGACTTCGTTTCGAGTAAATTATGGACGCTACCCACTCAGGACACTTGGAATACATTGGACGAGCAGTATGGAGGAATATTGACACGTTTTTTGTGGACTTTTATGGACCTTTCTGCCTCGGGTGCTATGACCTCCATTATTTGAATGTCAGCAGACAGCAAGAAGCCTCCCAGATCTCCAGATGCATTTGAGATATCAAAAAAGCACTCCAGAGTGTTGTTCAGCATGGGGGTGAGTAGAGAATGAAGGCTAATCATATTTTGGGTGTACTATTCCTTTAAAGGTATAGTGGAGCATTTTTACTAATTTTTTTAATGACCTGCACTCTCCACTTTTAAAGAAATATGCTCATGCACAACCCTGTACCCGCGCGTAAGAGGGAACACCTATTAAACGCGTGTGAGAGCATGCAGGAGCCCATTTCTCCTCGTGCACGCTCTGTTAAAAGTTGCTGTTTGCATCGGTCATACAAGCTCACTTCCCAAAAGATTTCCAATTTTTCCACTATGTCAGACTCACCACCGATAAGTAAAAATGCGTAAGAGCACGTAGGACGGCCTTAGGTAAACATATCAGAATGACTGACAATAATCATCACTTATTTTGATGATCCACACAGAAAAAGAACATCCTCCTCTATACCTTTAAGTTTTGTTATTCTAGATTTGTGATTATTCAAAGAAAAAAAAAGGTTTTCTAATGTGTTTTGTTCTGATTTGGCAGCATTTCAACATATGTACATTTATTTTAACACAATTTGCTATTTTTAACATAATTTCTATTTTTGCTAAGAATTACATCTGCCATCAGCGGGCGTGCCTCATCTATTACTTTCTGCAGCAATTATCATGTTTGGCTTCAAATACTGCTGTGGAAAAAAAAAAGATTTATATTTATACTCAAAAGTAAAATATTTGTAGCTGTGGTAGAAAAAAAACTACATTTAAACTATACATAAACAGCTGTATCATCATTGCAAACTGTTTCGGTACCAAAATATACTTATATTGCTGTATTTTTTTGTATTATGGAGGTGCTTGAAGATCCCACATAAGTTTTAGGCGGTATTCATAGAAAAAGGCAGAGATCCACTACAGTAGATTATTATGCTCATTAGGTTAGGGTTATTTTAACTGAGCTCTGGACATTCTTCAGCAGCTCAGAGGTCTAAATGCATCAGACTCCAGTCCTCTGTCTCAAGGGAAGAAATCAGCCACTCTGTCCAAACTGAGGGTGTTTACTGTTTCTTCAGAAGCGATTTCTTTATTAATTTTCTAAATGTTGGTCATTTTTATGCTTTGCAGTGTTGTTTTGAATGAATCGTCTTATTTAATTTGCCTTTAAATGAACCATGCTTTGTTTCTTAAGGCTTTGGCCAACAAACCTGCACTTAAATAAATTGATAATAGACTAAAAGAAGGATTATATTTGAACGACACATCCTAACAGGGTTCTGTTCTTTCAGCTGCTGAACAACGGGCCCAGTACATTCAGCAAGGCTTCACTGTACGTGGACTGGCCTTATCGCTTTGGGAACGGCTCTCTGCTCTACATCCACAACTTTGAGACGGAGGGACCCATCAACTGCACCACAGACATGGAGATCAACCCACTCAATGTCTCCGTAAGACACACACAGAAAGTTAGAAATAAGAGCAGCTTACAGCGTCTGGCTTCATCTTTAAACGTGTAATAGTAGACTAATAGACGGATTTATGTCTTCCTACGAACAGGCGGGCATTTCAGTGAAAGGTCTTACATGTTGGTTCAAAAACGAAAGTTGGAAGATTAATTTCATAAAGGTTTAAACTCATTTGTTTCTGTAGATTTTTACATTTATAACCTGCAACAACCAGGCGTCCTTTTTAAAAGAAATTTTTAATGCTTCACAGTAGTCGTGGAAACAGGATGTTGAATACAGAAGTGTTCTGAGGAAGAGGAATACAGAATGTCTGTAAACTATAAATAGTCATTGATAAAGAAGATGACTGCACTGAATGCTGTGTCTCAGCATGTAAATAGAAAGATAAGTGGAAGAAAAAGGTCTGTAAGCAGCATGAATAACTGCAGCCTTTATGAGGAGTTTGTAGCAAAGCCTGTATTACCAAAATAAGGCCAAGAGGCTGTGCTTCAGGAGGCACAACATACAGATTAATCCAGGATATCAGCTGCAGCTACAGTATTCCTTCCGTTAGGCCTCTCGGCTAGATGCGCTGAACAAGAGGAGTCAGAAACGTCTTTCCAAGGTTCAGGAGGGCTGGACTTTTTTTAGATGAAAATAAAATTATAATTTTATTTGGAAATAACAGTTGCAGAGTCTGGAGGAAGAGTGTAGAGACACAGAACACGTGTTGCTTTAAGTCTGGTGTGAAGTTTCAATAGTCAGTGATGATTTAGGGCAGGGGTCTTCAACGTTTTCCAGGCCAAGGACCCCAAAACCGATGGTGAGATGAAGCAGGGACCCCCTAATTATATACATGGTATGAAATTGTGTTATATCAAACTGGTCCTATAGTCACTCTATTACAGATGGAGTAATGTAACTAAAGTAATTTCTCCCTGGGATTATTAAAGTATCTCTGATTCTGGTTCCTGGTTGATGGGACAGGTGTTATGAATGAAACGGTGCCCAGCTTGAAAGAGCTCCTGTCTGTCGCTGAATGTGTGCATTGATGACTGAAAGACATCTTCTGCCTCCATTTATCTGTTCACTACATTGTGTTTAATTCATGTTAATGTGGATTTAAAGACATTTCAATTAGTGGAAAAAATTGCAGAGGAGAATATAAACAAAAAGTCTAATCAACCAAAACTTTTGAAACCCCGTGCAGTACCTCCGTGGACCCCCTAGGGGTTGTTAACCCCTTGTTGAAGTCCTCCAATTAGGGTATCAAGTCATCTGCTGATTCCGGTCGGCTCGGTTTTAAGAAATCCACAATCAATTCAGCCAAGTACCTGGAAATTGTAGAAGCGTCATGTTTCCAACTGATGTCAGGCTAAATTCATTTTCCAGCAGGACTTGGTGCCATAAAAGTATCTAAAAAAAAGCTTCTGAATCTGTTTGTGCATCATACATTTTAAATTGAATTACTGAAATAGATTAACTTTTTGATGTTGATCTAAGTTATTGAGACTTAACTGTATATATTTATTAACCAAAGACATTAATGACAATCTGGATCTGTTCAGAATTTGAATTAAAATCACAGCTATAAGTTGAGTTTACAGAGCCAGCTGCTGACTGATACCGATCATAAGACCCCCTATTTTATTTTTGGTTTTTTGCAGAATCCGTTGACGACCAAGAAAAACACAACTGTCGTTCCGCCAAGGGAACGAGAGACGGAGGGACGTAATCCAGTTCGTGTGAGAAAGAGAGACTTGGAGGGCAGAGAAGCACAAAGTGACCTCCAGACACTGGTATGAAAACTCTGATATGTTAAAGCACATTTTACACATCATATCATGTATTTTTCTTTCACCATTGTTTCCAAAAGGACTATTCTTATGTGTGTCTTGACAAAATGAGAACTAAAAGGAGACCTTTTCATTTTTTGCTGTCATTCTGTTTATTTAATTCCGGATTATAATTTGAACGAGTCTTCATCTCTGTTTGTTTAGGACTGCGGCACAGCAGAGTGTTTGAGGCTGAGATGTCAGGTCGGTCGTCTGGAGAGGACAAAGAACGCCATACTGTTCATCTACTCCCGACTCGACGTCAATAACTTCCTGAGGGTAAAATAATAAAAATAAAGCTAATTCTAATGCTGCTTGTTACATTCAATATCACAATGCCGCTTCATTGTTCTTCATTTGCTTTCCTTTTTCTGCCCAGGCTGAGAATCAGAATCGTTCTTATTTGGTCCGTTCTACAGCCTCCTTTAATGTCATAGAGATGCCATATAAGAATCTGAAGACAGAGCTGCCGTCCAATTCTACCACCGTAAGTTCAGTATAAACAATCAGTCTTCAGCATACAGTTTAACAGCAGGGGAATTTTTGTGATTGAAATATCTCTGCTACGATAGAGGTGTAAGGTTAAGTGGCCTTTTGAGCATCGACAGAATTTGCACAACAAAATAAATTATTTTAGATGAATAATTTCTGAATTTTAGTTTGTTTTCCTGTCATGGTACTTTAATATCTAACCGTTCCATCTTTAACTGTCAAAACCTGACAGAAACAAAGGGAACTGCACAACACTTTATTTCAATTCAGTTTATTTATATCTGCCAGTTCACACGTAATCACAAGGTACCTATAAGAGACAGTACAGTCAGATTGGTTAAAAGTTTCTGTCTAGGAAAACCAGTTGGTTTCATCCAGTCTTTGAAGTGGAGATAAAAAAACTCCTATTTAACCTGAATAAACCTCCAGCAGAACTAGAACCAGACTCAGTGTGAGCAGCCATCTGCGGAGGCCGACTGGGGTTCAAAGAGACAGAAACAGACACAGAAAAAGAAGCAGACATACAAAAGTTAACTGTTATCTGGCTCCACGTCACAGCCTGACACAGCCTGGCAGACGAGCTCAGAGACAGTTCTCATTTCAAAAGATGAAAGAGAGTACATAAATTGTAAAGAGAGGTGTTAATGGCAGCAGCATAACTGATATTCCGATCCACGACAAAGTTCCCGCCGAACAGGAACAGACCAGATAATGCTACTATGACAGGAAAAGGCAAAACATAAAGTTATGAGTGGAACCTAACAAATACTGCAGAATGAGAGAATATAGATAGACTGAAGCAGGATGAGGAAAAGTGGTCCCTATGTCCTCCAGCAGTCTAATCATATAGCAGCATAAATATAGAAAATAGCTGAGGTGTTTTAAGTCAAAGTTAAAAACAGGTTTTTAACTTTGACCTAAAACAGCTCAGGCTTTTAGCACTTTTCCAGTCTTATGAGAGTTTGTTGCAGATCAATGGAGCATAGGAACTAAATGCTGCTTCTCCATGTAGGGTTCTAGTTCTGGGTCTACAGAGTAGGCTTGATCTAGAAGACCTGAGTGGCCTTGATTGACTTTGGTAGAATCACAGTAGGGTCAAAGTGGAGCCGAACCTTAAACTGTTCATCAGTCAGATTTATTCCCTGCTTTTGTTTCTAGGTCAGTGTGTCGGTGACATGGGCTGACACCGCCCAACCAGTACCAGGCTGGGTGGTAGCTCTGGCCGTCCTCGCAGGACTGCTGCTGCTGGGGTTGCTCATTTTCATCATGTACAAGGTGAGACGGCTTTAAAGAAAGTTTTACTAAATGTGCTTCTTATCAGCATTTGAATCTTTAGTTTTTTTTTTACTACATTTCCACATCAGATTTTACAGTATAGCATTCAAAGGCAATTGATTTGCTAGAAATCAGGACTGGAAAACTTTACTGTAACTTTTCTAGAGTTATTTTATATGTTCATTTTTATCATGGCTCAAATTTATTTTAGTTTCTTTGATTTGTGATGCCTATAATTTGCTATTCAAATGTTTTTTTAGGCTTCTAATTTTGTTTACGGCTGCTCCGTTTCTTTTTCTTTTTTATGAGGGCCTTTAAAGTTCTCTCACTTTAATTTCTTCTGCTTTACCTACAAGTTTTAATTATATCCATGGAGAAAGGATTCCTTTAAAAGTGCTCAACATCTTTTTTTCTTCTCCTTCTCAGTTGGGTTTCTTCAAGAGAGTACGCCCCCCCCAGGAGGACTGCACCGAGAAGGAGCAGCTCCAGCCGGAGGAGAACGGAAACACAGACGCTTAGAGGCCGAGATGGAAAACAAGAGAGAGAGAGTTTGGGAGAGAAGAATTCAGGGTAAACCAGCCTCAGAGAGAATCACTGTAATGACTGTTTAAGGGGCAGATAACGGTACTTGTTTGACTTCAACCCTTCTTTTGTTATTTTATATTTTTCTTTTGTTGAATCATGTTGCATTTGTGCCAAAAAGAGAAGCTGAAAACACTGTTCATATATGAAAATACTCAAAAAACTGGCTCAAGATCAATTCACCTCCACATCATGTGTGCAACCTGTATCCACAACACTGTAGCACTTATTTGATTATTCAGTGTTAAAACCTGTTGTGGTTGAGTTCCCTGCTCCATCGCTGTGCTCCTTAAATATTTGAACCATGTTTCAAATAGTCCCAACGTTACTTGTCCAGAGGCGTGATGCTTTTTGGAGTGGAGCACACAGGGTTCAGCCCTCCAACACATTTGCACATTTCCTCTTTTTTTCCGTTTAGTAGCAAAATTAAATGGTTGATGAGCTGTTTGGATTGACGTGTTAGAGGTTCTTTAGTCCAGAGCTGCTGATGCATCAAAAATTTGTCATTTTTCTGGGTTATTATGACTTATGTGAGCTTAGTTCCAGCTGGATAGTAAAGCCCAGAGTCAGTGGCTGGATGGGAGGAAAACAACAGCGGGAAGAAGAATAAAAGTAGAACCAGTGTGAATAATAGTGGGTACATAAGAGCCAGCGCTAACTTCCATGTTTGAGTGGAGTCATTTATTTAATTAGGACCAAGACCAGCAATAAAAACAGCAATATGAATACAAACATTGGAAGTAATTTAAGAGGCTTCAATATGAATTATTTTGTCGAATATCACAGCGATATTTTTTCCTGTTACCTTTTCTGCTTTGTTTTGGTGAAAAGTTTCCAGGGTTTCCTCTCGTGTGTGTAAATGCATTTTTGTGCAATCGGTGATGGTGATTACAATAATGGGTCCAGCTGTTTTTAGCGAAATCGAGAAACCGTTTTTATTGCAGTTAATCAAAGCGTTTTCCTTGACGTGTGCAACTGATCAGTGGTTAAACCCTGAACCCCAGGAGCCTGCTGTGACTGGGCTTAGAGGCAAACCTCAGTAAAAAGAGGAATTTAGTTATTTTTATATGGAAAAAGTGTTCAGAACTGCAAATGAGGAAAAACCTATTCACCAATTACCCTGTAGATGAAATGTTGATGTGATAACGGAGGAAAGTCGATGCACTGCTCTATATTTGGGAGTTTAATAAGAGTTTTGTTGTATAATAAAGAAATAGCATAAAAAATGTCCAACTAGGAGCAAATCAGTACCTATGAAGCTGTGGATGATAAGCAGAGTGATTTGGTAGTTTAGTTAAACTTCAGTAATATGAAAATATAAATGACCTTTTTATCATAGTAAATCATGCAGCCAAGAAGGGAAGCACAACATTGGCTTAAACAATTAAATTTCTTCACTGAGCTTTTGTACGAAATTGTGCAAAAAGAAACAGTATTTTTTTTTCTTTTTGATAAGCCCAGACTTAATGCAATAATAAACTGATTAAACTTAAATAAACTCTTTAAATATGCAGCTGCTTCTCTAATGATTCCATTGTGCATCTATTCCGCTTAATACTACAAAATAAAAGCAATAAGTTTAATTATGGCATTTACTAATGCTCTGATAAAACCAGCAGATGTGAAAGTGTGTGGAAAAATATACAATAATCCAAACTTTTTAGACAGTTTGTTTGTTAGACACCCATCTAATGAACAGTGCAATTTCATTTTTATGTCAATATTGACCTTCTTTATCTCACTCATTTAATACAGAGGCCTCTGTCCAAGATGCTGGACACAATAAACACAGTAGGTATATTAAATAATCAGTAGGGTTTATAGATCAGAGATAGAATGTTTTTTGTTTTTTTTACCCCAGCAGTGTTCTCACGTCGAGGGGTTTGATCAGTGGTCAGTTGTTACTTTCCTGCCATTTTCTGCACTGAGGCCTTTTTTTGTCTTTTTTTCTTATTTTTTCCTCAGATTTTATACTGGTGATTGGCAGCTTCACTATTAGCATAAAAACTCAGCTGGTTGCTATTGTATGTTTAATGAGTCCAGCAATGCTTGAGTGTGTGTGTGTGTTTGTAATGTATTTAAAAAAAAAGAACAAAAAAAAAAGCTATTTGCCCATATTGGGTTTGCATATTTCGATAACTTCATTTCAGCGGCAGATGTTGGGCGAGCGCACTAAGAACGATGTAGCTTAGCCAGTTTATCCCCCACAGGCTGGATGTTAATAAAACATTTACACATCGAAGGTAAGCTGATGTCTGAAGCCTTTGTGGGTTTTTTCTTATACACAGAGCAATGTCCTTCTAAATATTTCATTTAAGGCAAATCCAGTTTTATTTCTAAGCAGAAAAGCTGACTTTGCTGACTGATCCTCGCTTCTGACCAGACGGCTAACTTTAGAGGCCAGGACAGTTATAATCATTGTTTACAGGCCATGTTTGCTCACAGTAACTCCTTATAAAAAACAGAAACGATCTGCAGAGTGAAAAAATTAACATTTTAAATCAATCTTCATTTGGTGTAATGATCAACAGGCCTGGATAGACTCTGTGTTACTGTAATGCAGAACTGCTTTTTTTTCATAATTTTTTTTTATCAGACACTGAAAGGCATGACTTGTATATTGTAGGAAAGAATAATAATAAATAGAAGAAAAATAGTGTTTTTTAAGGAGTTTGAATCTACTTCAGATTTACTCTTATAAACATGGGGTTAAAATGATACAGACAGGCTGTATCGTGAACACATCACCGTTTGATTAAAGGTTTTTCAGCCCAGTCCACCTTCTATGAACCTGAGCAAATAGAGAAGTATGGCTTTTTATTTTGAGTAGGTGAGAAATTTAAATCTGTTTTTAGTTTCTTATTCGTGGTCTAAAGCTGAACCTAAACTATGCTGAAAATAGCTAGTTATTCATTATTTTACATTCACATCTTTTTGGATTTAAAACCACTAACAGAAATAAAATCATTGACATAAATCAAGGAGTAATTTCACTGCCTTTCAGAGCGTTTAAATCGAACCCATGTAAATAAAATTTAAAATTTAACTAAGTGGAGTTATGGTTAAGAACCAGTTGTAATTCAGAGTAGATTTTAATCTAGAATAATCTAATCTGCAACTTTTTGGATAATACAGATTTTAACTCATTTTAAAGCCCTTCCACATCCTTAAGAACTGGGAAGCTGTCTTTACCACACTGTTGAGTTGTAGGTCAGCTTTGACATTTCCTGGTTTCAATAAATTAATCATAGACCCTCACTCAATCCGGAATATCTGAAAGCTGATGGAAAGTTGAAGCAAATTAGAAAGTATAAAATTTTGACATGAAAATTTGGTGGAAATCAGAGAAAATCCACAATAAACAAATTTCACCTGTCTTTTTTTTTTGTTTATTTTTGGACCTTGTTGGTACGTTCATTCAAGCCCATAAAGCTTGTTGTCTGTTTTATGAGGCGTTCATAGATTGGTCTATAGAGTAACCAATAAACTTCTTTCATTTAGTCACCATTTCTTCTTTAGTCTTAGAGAATCACCATGGTTACTGATCACTCCATGTTAGCACGGCCTGTGTCAGACTGGTTCAGTTCAACTTGTAATATTAGCGACGCCGGGTGGTTCTGGTCTGAGCTGATCTTTGGTCAGAGGTATGTCGGTGGTTAACGATCGTTCTGCTCCGTGGTTTTATTTAGATGAAGTCACATCCTTTTTCCACCAGCTGGAGTCAAATCAGTTGACTGCATCACCTGCAGCTCCATCCATCACCTCACTTCCTAATTCAGGGTTTGACATTTCAACTTTAACACAGTTTAAGGTTTGGGTTAAAGAAAGATGTGTAGAAAATCAGGTCTTGTGAACCGACTGATTTGACTCCAGTCCTGCAGCCATGCGTGTTGCTCTTCATGTTTAATACCACTCTGTTTTTCCTTTCTGCTATGAGTAAATATTGACTATTTTTGATGTATGTATTCTTACACTTTATAGAGAGTAAATATTAACAATTTTTAAAAGAGATGATTTCACTTTTGGGCTGAAATAAACTGATTTGTTCACATTTTGTCTCAGTGTTGTTTTTTGAAAGACCAACAGTTTAACCAGGAGTTTTCAAAACTCTGGCCTTCAAACATTTACTTTAAAGACAAATTAAAAAACTAAAGGTCCGGTCTGATGGACTTAATGCTCCCATGATGTAGATCTCCATAAAAAGACAGTTTGGGCGTTTGCTTCAAGTTGTTTATTTTGTTTGGTTAAATCCCTCCACCTCCTGCGTCTCTTCAGCCTCTCAGGGTGCGTCTGTCAGCAGGAAGCTGAGGTCGCTGCCGGGATCGAACTCCACCGCAGGTTTTCCACTGAAACACATTCAGAGAACGAGTCCAGGTCACAGAATGAGGCGAGACTTATCTCAGGGTCTGTTAGGAGCTCTAACAATCACCTCACAAAGAAACACTGGGGGTTTCTTCCTGTTAAAAGGGAGTTTTTCCTCTCCACTGTCGCTACAAGCATGCTTAGTGTGAGAGATTATATTCAAGTCAATGAGTTAATGCAATTAACTGGTTTTCCTTAGAAACTTTGTATCAATGTGACGATTGGCACTATACAAATAAAGTGAATTGAAATTAAAAATGACACAGAGACTCTGTGACCGCAGCTGCCTTTTGTCTTTTGTATCTTGGGTTAGCATTAATCTCCATGTTTATCCCTGTAGATCCTAATTTACTGTAAACTCATGGTTTGTAACCGCTGCCTTACAGGGGTTTAAAGTTGTCTGTTAAGGTCCTGCTCTCTCTCGCTCCTACGCAGCCTTGATGAACCTCAGACGTGTCTCAGCATCTGCTGTATTATAAAGGTTCCTCTTTTCTAGTAATATTTGTGAAAAGCTGAAATATTTCTTTGACTTTGTTTTAGTCTTGTTAATTGTAAATCCCAGTAGTGCCTCTAAAGTTGTGGACAGACTGTGAGTACCTGGTGAAAAGTCGGGCCTTTGTGGTCCCTAACAGCGTGGCTTTGTTGCCCTCCACCAACAGCATGGAGCCTTCCCTCAGCCCCTAAACACAACAGCAGAATTAAAGCAGGGCAGTGAAATAAAAGCAGCCGATTGACCTCCTCTCCTTCTCCTCCGCCTCTCTCACCAGAACACTGGGAGTGTTGGGTTCTTCATGGTACTGGGTTATCCTTTGCTCCCTGGTCTCCTGCAGAAGAACACCAACAATGTCAAAGCACAAAGAGCGTTACTTTTTTGTTGTAAAAAAGAATTTTAAAAGTATTTTTATCAATACTATGTTTAATGATTCCTAACTTTAGATAATTTTTTAATTAGAATGTCTATTCTACCAATCAGAGGCCATAGTCAATTCATTGCTATATCTCTTAGTGGTGGTTTTGAGGTAGTACTGGCTTGCATGGTTTGGGTCTCCTTCTGCAGCATGCAGGATGGTGGTCCCCGAGAACCATGATGGAAAACCACTGATGTAAAGAACAGCACAAGCACCCTATTTTTTTTACTATTGTACTTCTACATATCGGCCTCTAGAGGGAGTCATGGGCAAAGCTATGTTAAACTTTTTTTATTGGTTTATTAGCCTACAAAATGCCAGGCTCTAAAAACAATGACTGTTAAATAAAGCACAACTGTGAAGGAAAAGATCCCCAGAATGCAGCCATGATTACAAGGACAGAACGGTCTAACAGTGTTTGCTGCTCTACATACAGATCTCTACATCATTTTTATATTTTGCCTCAGATTCCTTATCGGATTTAGATCTGGGCTCTGATTGGACCATTCTAAGCTATAACTATGATTTTATCTGCTACCAAACCTTCACACTTGTTCTCCTGTTAGTGAAGCTCCAGCTCAGTCTGTAAAAGCTTTTCCTTTAAATTACCTATTATACTTATAACAAAGGAATTCCCAAGTATTATGCTGCACCTCCATGCTTCACTATTAGATGGGTTTGCTGTGTCCCCCCTATGCGTGTTTTGACACTCTGTAATTAGTCTGCTTCATATCTCTGGAAACCAGCCTTTTTTCTTTATTCAGGGAATCAGTTTAATTAATTTGAATTTAACTGTCAAAGAATATTTAGACAAATTTTCTTTAAAAACATCAGTAAAAATAAGACCATAGTCAAAAATTATCCAAATTATAAATGCATAAAGAAGATAAAATCAAAGATAAAATTACAATGATCCCAAGGAACATTCAGTAAAACATCTATCAACTTATCTTTCTACCAAAAGAGTTTATAAGACAGAGGTAGAGGATAAAAGAAGCAGGAATGAATCGTCTAATAGTAAGGTAAAATCTGAATTAATTAAAATATTTTAAAATAGAACCACAATAAGATCCCAACAGAGCCAAACTCATTGACATCAGAAAAAATCACAATGTGTTAAAGAACATTTGGAAAAACACTGAAACATTTACAGGGAAATGTTCCTCAGTGATAAAACTTCAGATCCAATAATAACATAAAGACAATATTTAGCAGACTTTGCATCCTTTAATTAATTCCAGAGGTGGAGGAAACATCATAAGAGTCATAAGAGTCAAATCTCTGGCTGGCAGAACAACAGTTTGCTAATTTATAGCAGCTCAGCAGGTTTTCATTTTCCCGTGTTGCGTAAGTTTTCAGAGTACAGATTTTTTTTTCCTGCTTTACCAGATGTATTATTTTCATTAAACCTGAACATAGTTACGCAATTATTATGTACTAAATTACCGAGCAGGAACCTTTGAATTCTCAGCTGTAAATCTGACACACAAGAAGCATCACAGGCATTGGTCCACTGGATGTATTTAAGCTTTAAAACCATCTAAGTTCAACTCAGGCTGCGTGAAAACGAAATAATTCCCAGATCAAACGGTTTCAAGCATCAGTTGAGGAGAAAAAGTGGCCTCAGGGGTTTATATGTTTTGAATACATTCATTGTTTCATGTTGAATATCAGAAGGCAGTGATTTATGCTGAGATCTGCAGTCTGAGTTTTGTTTTTTATTTATTTATTTTTTACTATTATTTTTCATAAAAATTGCATAAAATATAAAAAAAACCTTAATGATTGTAACTTTCAACCAATCAGGTGGTTGGATTACCTAAACAAAGGAACAAAGGGTATAAACTATAGATATTAGTATTTCTGTTCACATATGTTTTTTATATATATATATATTAATAATTAATCATTTATTCATTAAAAAAAAAATGAATAAATTATTGTAAAAGCTGTTTATTTTGTTTACATATGTTTTTTTAATTAAAATGTGAATAATAATTTTTACAGATTCTGTAATTAATCTGATTAAAAATTTCAATCAATTCCCACCAAACTAATTAGCATGATTCTAGAGGCAGCTTGCAGAATTGGTTTTTATTTAGGGGTACCAGGGTAAAGGAGGCTAAAACCAAAGGCAGGATGCTCCTTTGAGATTTTACGGATGTTCCGAAGCACTAAAAGATGCTGAAGTCTGCTGTTGTGATGCGTTGAACTCAGACTCACCCCCATGTGGCGGCTGCTGGGGTCGGGGTCCAGGTAGTGTGGGTTGATGTTGAAAGGGACGAGGCCGATGGCGGAGAAGGTTGGAGGGAAAACGATGGGCATGTCATTGGTTGTGCTTATGCTGACGGTGGCCACATTGGTGCCGGCGCTGGAACCCATATACGGGACGCCGTCCTGGAAGGAAGGTTTGGAGAAAGTTACAAGGAACGCCTTGATTTCCATTCTCATTTACAACAACAGGTTTAGAAAGTGTCTACATGTTCTGTCAAACTGTTAAGATTCTGGGTTTTTTTGTGCTTCCAACCTCCATGACTCTCTTCCTGATCTCCGTCACTACGTTGTTGTCATAAAGGCTCTTGAGCAGCCGGAAAGTGTTGCCTCCCCCTACAAGCAGATGCAATCATTAGACATGCCCAAAGGCTCATGGCATGGCTAAGGTAGACGCTGCTAACATCCAGGAGGTAAATTCAACAATACCTGTTACGATAAAAATCAGTCAATAACTAGACTAATATAAAAACATCATTAGGACTTTTTCACTGTGCTGATGCCATAACGAAAGTAACAATAATTTTGGAGGAAAATCACAGTAAAAATATGTTTAAAAAGCTTGAACTAATCTAAAACTCACCAATAAAAATCCCTTCAGCCTTTCGGACGGCTTCAGCTGGGTCTGCCGCCTCATGGATGCCATCAACCTCATAACCTGCAGGAGCCACAAACAAACCAGCGTTCCCGGCTCATTGCTGTTATTCCTTTAACAGTAAGTAATAAAACATCAGCGCGGTTTAGCCCTACCTAAAGTTTTGAACTTGTCCCTGGCAGTCTTGGTGTAGGCGTCTCTGTCATGGAGGGCATAGGGAACAAACAGCACCCTTTTCACATCCCTGAAAGAAACAGTCAACATATGTGATGGTTTATGTTATGTCATCGGCCATTCTAGCAGTGATGGCGCCCTGAGAAAGGCCCAAAAAACAAAACAATGAGGGATAGACAGTGCAGGTAAGCACAGCTCATCTCTGTGCCCTCTTTATGAAAAAAAAAGAAAAACAAACTTTACAGATCTCTCTCTGAGAATAATCTCTTATTGCCTCATCCAGCATATAAACTGTCCCACAGCCTTTATTGTTGCTTTTTATTTTCCTTTAAAGGGAGGTCCCATTTCATTTTAATATAGGCATATAAAAATTATCTTTCTGTTCCAGTTTAAGAAATGTTACAGAGACTGATTGACACTTTAATCTGTAGCCATGTTTTTTTTTTTTTTTTTTTTTTTTTTTATTTAATTATTTTGAATAACTTCTCATAATCTGTCCCATTCAGATGTGGAAAATGTTTTAATTTGTGTGGCACTGATCTGCTCACCCTGTGCAGTCGGAGCCTCTATATGCCAGTCAGTGTCACATGTCGTACGCAACACCGGTTTGACCCGGCCTTTAATGTACAGCAATACTGTAGGGGAGGGGGGCGTATTCTCTGGACATGTTTTAAAGGTACCGTTGTACTGGGAAAGTTGTGTTCTCCATGATTAAAAAAATCCATGAGAACACCACCTGAAGTCCTGATTCCTACACTCTGATAAATTGTTTTAATTAAGGCTGCTTGTACAGAGAATAGAGTGGAAGTTTTTACGTCTTCAATCAACCTTTTCTGATGCGCTTGTAGCGAACCGTAAAATTCAAATCAACTGATTAAATTCTGTAAAAAAGCTTTTTACTTTTGCTTAAGTTGATTTAGATTTTTTTTTAAGAAATAAAGTAAACGGTAATTACCTGTATTTATATAGCACTTTCTTCAAGTCAGGAGACTTGACCAAAGTACTTTGCACTGCATTCAGTCATTCACTCACACACTGATGGTGGAAAGCTACAATACTGACGTGTGGTCAGCGCTATGTTATTCCACGCCACAACGCAAAAAAGGGAAAATCCCGAACTAGCTGTGGGTCTAGATACGGCCGAGGCAGTGAGGAAGTGGGGGCAAGTTTGTGAGACAATGGAGGGACATGAAGGCGAAAAATAATGGGATCCAGGTGGAAAAAGGGTCTCAGCATTCTCGCACACCTCGCTCTTCTAGCTGGTCCAATTTCACAAGTGGTTTTCCACAATGGCCGTCATACCAACAAAACAAGTTGGTAAGGTACCAAACAGGAAATATGCATAGTGTAGAGCAGATGTAGATTTGACCAATCAGAGACATCCTCTCACCTACAATTTGGGATAGGTGCACCAGGTGCCAGCGGACGGAGACGTCTCTGCGTTCACCATGACACATGGTTTCGAAGTATAAATTAGAGTGCTTGTAGCGACAGTGGAGAGACTTTTTACAGCCAAGTCTAACATAAACATATGAAGACATTAAGCTTTGCATCGTCTGGTTAACTTGATGATTTTCCTTTTTCCTAACATTTTAAAACGGAGGTCTTCAACAGGTGATCCGGGAAACCCAGGGGATCCACAGGGGTACTGCATTTTTTATATTCCTCCCAATTTTTTCCACTAATTGAAATTTCTTTAAATCTACATTAACATGAATTCAACACACTGTAGTAAACAGATAAATGGAGGCAGAAGATGTCTTTCAGTCATCAATGCACACATTCAGCGACACACAGGGGCTCTTTCAAACTAGGCACCGTTTCATTCACAACACCTGTCCCATCA